CTTACCACGGTATGACTTCTTTTTATTTTCCCGATATTTCGGAACTTCCGTGGAGCGTGCAACCGTTCCGAAATATCCCAAACGGTTGCACGCTCCATGGAAGTTCCGAAATATCGGGAAAATAAAATGAAGTCATACCATGGTAAGAAACCCGATACTAGTGATAATCATATAATTATTTTGTTTTGATCTTTTGATTTTTAATCATACTGGGATTGTATTACTTGAAGTTTCGGTTAATATGCTCTGCCTATTCTGGTCTAATTACATACACTAATAAATTTAAGGATTGTGATTGTTAATTTATTTCACCAAAGAAGGAGATGAAAAGTCTGAAACATAAAAGTTTGAAAATTGTTGGGTCATTATAATATGTCTCATCATTTGGTTATTTGGCAATACATTGTATATGTTGTCAGTACATCTTTGAGCAGTGGATGCATCATTCTTACATTTCATGAAACAATCGATAGGTAAATTAGACGACTTTCCTTTAGCAGCCGCCAACTGGGGCGGTAACTCAAGCGGCCAAGCAAATAATGGGTCTAACAATACTCAACAACAATGGAATAACACGGCTCAGCGGCCGCCCACCTCGCAAGCCGACAGTAAGTTGTTTTCAAATCATATTTCTACTGATCTAGTCTAGTTGGAATTTGCATTGCTGTTTGTTTGTTTATTGTTTGCTGACTTACGACCGTATGAGCGCTGTAGTATTTTTATGCTATCATTTATTATCTCGCATTTTTTTTATTATCTCGTAACATTATCCATAACCGCTGATTCTATTTATCGACTATAAACATTCGTTTGATTGCATTTTTGAATAATATTATCGAATAATGTTTGGCTGCAAAAAACTTGCATGACAAAGTTCTTTGAGATCGCGTGTATTTTCGAGTTAAATAAAAGTCACAAGAGATTGATATTGATTTGGCACGTGGGGTTTTGAGTTTTGAGTTTTGGTATTTTGAGGGGTTGTGAGGGTGTTGTCCAATGAAGTTGTTGCTTGCAGTGAATAGCAACAAGGGGAACGGGAATGGCATGCCGCCTACCAGCGCCGCGTCTCAAAATTGGCAGAATTCGCCGCCAAACATGCCAAACGCGCAGCCGAACAACAACGGAGCGCCTTCTAACAACGGTAAAACGTCGCACAATTAAATTATGCCTGAATAATTAGGTTGAGTTCCCGTTAGCATTCACAACAGGGTTTAACTTCTATTAACAAGGTGGGACTCAAGTTCGTCCTATAATCTTTCGCGGTAAATTTTCCAAGTGATGCAAACAAACAGCAATCATAAATGTATTTATTTCCTATGTTAAACTTTCGAACAAATAAACAACTCTCTGTTGCTTGTGCAAAATACAAATTTTATTGGGTACAGTTTTTCCATCCATCATAGATTATAGAAAGAAAAAAAAAACATTTATTTACCAAGGCCACATGTAAAGCTGAACTAGATATCTGTAAGGTGTAAATGAGATTTCATTTGCACGCATAACGAAGGTGCTAGAGAACTAAAAAGATGACTCGATTGTCTATTTTTAGGTACAAACAATACTGGAAATGGAAATAACGGGGGAAATAATCCTCCGAATTCGGTAGCGAATACTAATGGTCCTTCTTCTGGTAATGGGAACAACGGTAACAATACCAATAGTACCTCTTCTGCCAAGATAGAGCAGCTCAACTCCATGCGAGAAGCTTTATTCAGCCAGGACGGATGGGGAGGCGTGAGTATTTATTATTTGCAATTTAACTGATAATAAAATATTTTATTTTTTAACCTTCATTTGTATTCCAGCAACATGTAAACCAAGACACCAACTGGGATGTACCTGGATCTCCCGAACCCGGCTCGAAAGCCGAGCCAACGGCTAGTGGCGGGCCGCCCGCCTGGAAGCCCAACGTTAACAATGGTGCCTTCCTCGGAACCGATCTCTGGGAAGCCAATTTAAGAAACGGTGGACAACCTCCACCACAACCGGCAGCTAAAACGCCTTGGGGTCACACTCCGACTACTAATATTGGTGGCACGTGGGGAGAAGATGACGACGCAGCCGACTCCGCCAATGTATGGACGGGGCCGCCTCCGCCGCAGCAGTGGCCGGCCGGGCCGCCACAGCATGCCCAGCAATGGGGAGTCCCTAAGAAAGACGACTGGAACGCGTGGGGTGAGCCGCACCGCCCCGCCGACCCTCGTCTGGATCCGCACCGCGGCGGCGATCCACGACAGGCACCGGCCGACACACGTCATGACCTGCGCGGCGGCATCTCGGGCCGTCTCAACGGAGACATGTGGAGCCAGCATCATCAGCACGCCGCTGGGCCTAACAAGATGATGCCGGCCGCCGCTGTAAACCAATGGGGAGCGCAGGTAACTATAACGACGCTTGTTACGGTTTCTTTTAACTTTTTACGAGATTTTTATTAGTGTATCATTGGGTTGGGTTTTAAAAACATTTTTCGGAATGTCCAATGGAATTAATATATACTTCACATCGACTTACGTATGTACCGGTTCTATCGTAAACGTGATCGCAAATGTGACGCACGTATTTATTGGTTCTGTGTTATTGAATTTTGATTGTGGAGTGAAATATACGAAACCCATGCACTTTCCGAAACTTTAAAATTATTACCGGGCTACAATTTTGTGTATTCAACTTTGTTAACGTGCGTTGTCTTTTTCTCAGGGTCCCAAAGACTCGATCAAATCATCTGGATGGGAAGAGCCATCTCCGCCCGCTGCACGGCGCGCAGGCGGCGGGTTCGACGACGGCACCTCGCTGTGGGCGCAGAGAGGTGGCGGCATGGCCGGCATGCCCGGACGTGGAGCGCCTCAAGGTCCGCCCGCTGGCCCTCAGCGCATTCCCCCCACTCCCACCAAACCCGACGCGGTGTGGGGCGCTCACGGACAACGTAACGGTTCGTGGGAGGAGCCTCATACTCCCGGCTGGCCGGACAGGGAAGTGCCCGGGTGGCCGGAAGCATCTGTTCCCGTGCTATGGCCCGCGCCTAAGCCGAAGCCGTCAGGACCTGCTGGTGCTTGGCCAGATGACATCGGCGAGTGGGGCGGTCCCAAACCACCACAGAGTGTGCCCCTCGGAAAGCAGCTGCCCAAAGAGGCGGTGTGGAATAGCAAACAGTTCAGGTGAGCGTCACGGTAATAGATCGCAATAACACTGTGGTGACAGTACATTGAAAATAAATTAAATTGATTCTACCGATTATGATTTGTGTAGATACCTTGTGGAGATGGGATACAAGAAGGAAGAGGCTGAAGCTGCGTTGCGCAACCGCGATATGAACGCCGAGGAAGCTCTGGAGCTGCTGGCTTCAGCGCGCGGCGAGGGTTGGCGGCGTGACGAGCACTTCCACCACGGACCCTTCCAGCCGCCGCCGTCTGTGCCTGCGGTCTCGCCCGCAGTCGTGCAGAAGCTGCTTAACCAACCGCCACCGCAACCTGTGCAGCATCACCCTTACAACTCCAATAGGTACATAACAATGCCACTGACACCCATGATACAGTTCTAGTTCTAGTTATTGATGAATTTATCAATATGACCTGGACTTTTTACAGTCATTTCAAGCTATACTACAATTAATAAAGAGACTAGCGAAAGACTTCCTAAATTTGCTTAAGACTATTTTTTCTTTGACGATTATGCTGGTATATTTGGCTGAAGGAGACATAATTATATTTTTTTTGCATTTGTACAGCGGGTCTGGCAACAGCGGGCAACCCAGTGCGGCACAGCTACGCATGTTAGTACAGCAGATCCAGATGGCAGTGTCGGCCGGGTACCTCAATCACCAGATCCTCAACCAGCCGCTAGCGCCGCAGACACTCGTTCTCCTCAACCAGTTGCTGCAACAGGTATAGTTATTTTTATTTAAAAAGTTCTGCTGAACTGGTTTTGCGCATATATACTTCGTAGCATTCTTTCTTAATACCTTTCATATGAACCAAATGAAATTTACATAATCGAGAGATAATTAATAAGCATATTTTGCTAAGTCAAGTTAACTTGATGAAATATCGTGATATAATTCATGAGTTCAATATTTCCTCATGACCTTGATAACGTGACGTAATCTTAACAAGGTCATAAATATAAAAGGCTTCCAAAAGTTCTTAAGTCTTTTCAACTCTTAATTTTGAAGTGATGATGTAGGTAAGCTTATGGGATTTCGAACGTCGAGACAAGTTGATGCGCATAAACTTCTTTTGTTTACAGATCAAAGTACTACAACAATTGGTGCAGCAGCATACTTTGGTTATCTCGAAAAACAACACGATTGCCGCCTTGCAATTATCTGGGCAAATCAATAAAGCGAAACAGCAGATCACTGCTTTACAGGTAAAGATGCGGAAAGTCCTATCTATATACGTGCTTTCTAGTCTCATGTCTTTGAATTAATACTGTTACCTACTTGGGTAACGGTATAACAGATTTTGCTGTAATATCGGGTACTTTTAACTTAAACGCAAAAGTCCTTGTTTTATAATGATATGTCATCAATCATGAGTAAATGCTTTATTGAAATGCCTTTAAAAAATATACAAATATTAACATTAACGAATTCTTTAACACAGAATCAAATCGCGACGCAGCAGGCCTTGTTCATGAACAAGCAAGCGGGCGGCGCCGATTTGTTCAAGCAGAGTCACGACCCGCTAGCGCAGCTGCCCAACAACTTCAGCGAAATGGCCATCAGCAAAGACTCGCAGGCGGTACGTTTTCTTTTCTAACTCCCGTTTGAAATAAATTAGAAACAGCACGTGCCGTAGTGCATAATTTTTTATGGGTTTATTCACTATAGTTTGTATTTTTGAAGATGGAGTAAAATGGCATTAGCAGGGTTGATAGTTTTCATAAAAATTTAAAGAGTCCTGTAGTTGTTGTCGACAGTTTTATCAATATATTGCGAAAGAGGGTATAATTTTGCCAAAAATGGGATGAGATGTGATGAATTGCTGCGAATATTACGACGTTCGACGACGACTACTACTAATTACTTCTTTACTCTTATTTTGACAGTTTACCAGTATCGAAATAAATTTTTATTCACGCACATTAATAAGGACAGGCGGATTTAATTATCTATGTATATTGAATTAAAATGAAAAACTTTAAAACATAAAGTCATTTTAAATGTAGTGAGTGTATCTACGTACATATGTATAAATTTATAATTCATATGAACCTGTGCCCAACAGTTGGGCGAATAATGGGTCGATGATAATTCAAATGAGATAAGTTCAGATATTTATTGCATAAGCGTAACCAACATTCAGTCGATAGACTATTTATCGCTCACTAGCTGCTTGCAAGTGAGCAACACTTGCATAATGAATTTTACTCCATCTTTAAAAAAGATCCCTTCGACGATCCACACTTGATAGAAGGAAGAAAAAGGCTTCTTTACTGGCTTCTTGAGAACTTCTGTGATGTGTTGTCGCGTTGCCTTTGTGGTTTGGTAGAACGCGCTTCGCTCGCTCCGGGCTATATTTGTACCCTCCAGCACCTGTCCACCCGACCACAAAGGGAAGGTGCCTTTGCCACTTGTGCGAACGGGACATAGCATGAACCCAATCTTCAATAAAATATATGTAGAACGTTGGTGGAACAAAATATAATGGTTAGTAGCAGTAGAGCTCCTAGTGAAAGAGTTCGTCCAGGGTACCACTGTCACCTTACCTATTTTTGCCGTCAAGCTTACTGTGTTCCGGTTTAGAAGGATGGTGGTGGTCAAATTACAGTACAGGCACATGGGACTCGTCAACTTATGTCTCAGGGTGACGGGCGCAGTGGTGGTCCCCTCAGATCTTTACAATTTATAGCTCTGAGTGGCCCTGTAACTGTTATGGACAGGCGTGTAGTTTACCATCAGGCGCACCACTTGTTCTTCCGGTCACTCGATGTTTTATATATATGTATGAATAAAATATTCTTTGAATGTGCTTAAACAACAACAGCGTAATACATGATGTATATATTAATGTGTGAACTGTTGGTCTGTTGGTCTAACTAAATAGGCGAAAAAGAATCAGGTAGGTAGTACAACAAAAAAATCAGGGGCCACCTTTTATTTTGTTTTTTTTTTTATTCGATTTTAATCTCTAATTAATATGGTCAGGCTTATGGTGGGAGCGGCAATCAGCAATCGCGCCTGAACCAGTGGAAGCTTCCTTCTTTAGACAAGGACGGCGAAGGTTCAGAGTTCAGCCGTGCGCCCGGCACCGCCAAGTCTACGACTAGCCCTCAGCTCAATCAGCTCGGCTTGCAACCTGATTCGTGAGTACCTATTGTTTGTCTCAAATTAGATTTTTTTTGCTTATGTTTTATTAGCATTATAATGGACAATGGAATTCAAATTCACTCAATTAATTGTTGTTTATGCACTGCAATTTTGATATTGTTAGTTGTAAAAGTTTAATAACAGATAACGAGACTTGTTAAATTGTTGAAAATTAATGAACTCATGGTTTCGGTCGCCTTTTCAGTGCTGAAGCTGCCGTTAATAAAAAAATATTCAAACTTTATTGTAAAACCATTTTGATGATATAGTACATGGGGAGTAGGCCGCGGCTCTGAGAGCTGGGGCGACTCTAGCGCCGACGTGGCGGACGGCAAAGACTGGCCGGCTCACGGCGCACACCAGCCTGTGTACGACCTTGTACCCGAGTTCGAACCCGGCAAACCATGGAAGGTATGTGTACTATTACAATTAAATTTCTTAACTAAATTAACTCATCTTTTTAGGGCAAATATTTTAATTGACAAATATTTTACGCTCAAGACATACTGACATGTGCAACTGGAAAGCGAGATTTTGATATTTTCTTACAACAGGGCAACCAGATGAAAAATGTCGAAGATGATCCGGCTATGACTCCGGGCTCTGTGGTCCGCTCGCCTCTGTCGCTGGCAGCTATCAAGGACACGGACATGCTGGGCGGGAAGACGTCCCCGCCGGGCGCCGAAGGACGTACGTTGTCGTCGTCCACGTGGAGCTATGCGCCACCGGCCACGAGTGCCGGGGCGCTGAAGCCGCCTGCCGACGCGTGGGGTGCCAAGCCGCGCCCCGCGCCGCCCGGCCTCAACAAGGCGTGGCCGCAGCACCACGCCAACTCGCAGCAGCGCGCGGTGCCTTCTTGGCAGACTTCCACTTGGCTACTGCTCAAGAATCTTACGGCGCAGGTAATTAAAACGAACGCCTTTTACGTTCGATGTCGTCATGAAAACAGGTCACTGGGACATGGAGATCCGCAACAAGGCAAAGTGGCGAAAGATTTAAGAGGTCCTATGTTGCGAAAGGAGGAAACATTTATTCTTTTTTTTTTTATGTAAGCGTAAACTTACATTGCACTGTTGAAAAATACTTGTTCCTAGTGAAAATATTTTTTTTTTCCTTGACAGATCGATGGGTCGACGTTGAAGACTCTGTGCCTACAGCACGGCCCCCTGCAGAACTTCCACCTCTACCTGAATCAGGGCTTCGCTCTAGCTCGCTACTCGTCTCGCGAGGAAGCAGCTAAGGTTAGTACCCTCATAATGTTTGTTAATAAAATTTATGTGCTATAAGATGCGAATGGAGTCACTAGTATAAGTATATCAACATGAATATAGTTTGATTCGTGTGGTGGTTTGTGCAGGCTCAAATGGCTCTAAATAACTGCGTGTTGAGCAATACGACGATCTTCGCGGAGTCGCCGGCCGAGTCGGAGGTGCAGATGATCTTGCAGCACCTCGGCTCTGGCGGTGGTGGCGCGTGGCGCGGGGGCGCGGCAGCCGGCAAAGAGGGCTGGGGCGGCGCCTTCCCCGGTCTGTGGCCGGACCAGCACGACCAGCGGGCCACGCCCTCGTCGCTCAACTCGTTCCTGCCGCCGGACCTGCTCGGCGGCGAGTCCATCTAGACCTCACCGTCACCCCCGCCTCCGCAGTACGTACGCCTCACTGGCGACCCGCCGACCACCTCGGCGGAGTCGTAGGTGTCTAGTTGTAATTACGCTTTACCGGCCCCCGTACGGGGACGGACTAATTTTATTCGCCTAGTCAGATCGTGTCGGACGCGTCGGGTCGCAACATCCCTGCGGCGCGACGCGCCCGTGGTAGCCAACTGTCCACATAACTATTATCTACTGTGTTGTAAGTGTTCATGTAGATTATTTAGTGTACATAAGAATTATACATATACAACGGCAGACATATAAAGTATCGAGGGTTACATGAAGTATAGCGCGGCGGGCCGGCGCTACCGGGTGAGACTCGGCCGCGCCGGCCTGCCGCGACCCCCGCTCGCTCCTGTAAGCTACCAAATAACGTAGGTATCGGAAGTAGAGTAGTTGCGTCGCGGGCTACCTCAGTCACTCGCCCCGTGGCCTTATGTTAGTGTGTATTTATTTTGTTGCGCTCGAGGGCTGTTGCTGTTTCGCCGTCGAGCTGTTGCGTTCCGAGTTTCTTTCGTATTCGTTTTTATTTTCTCGTTCGATTCTTACTGATCGTATTTTAATTATTTATTCTGTTTTTTTTTTAATTCTCGCAATGAGCCTTCGTTTTCCAGTAGTGATATTTTATTCAGCAATAACGTGTAAGTGCATTTCACAGACTAACAAAAGTTTTATATTAGTTGTAATTTTTATAATGATAACAAAATTTGAAAATTATGAGATTCGAAGTGCATTCTTGTAGTGGTTAATTCCTTTTAAGCCGTATAGTCTGAGATGGAAAGAGTATATACAAAGATACGTGAGGAGGTCGCGGCGCCGGCATCATCGGCCAGGTCGTAGGTCGGGTGCGGGCGCCGTGCGCCGCAAGTACAAGACGGGGCGCTCCCTTGCAATCCAGTAATCCTGTGATGTAAAGTATCTTGCCTAATATAAGGATAATCTATTTTGTTGGAGAGTATCATAGAGCGTCGCCGGCGAGGGCGGCGGCGGTCGGCCTCCGCCGAAGCTGATGTTTCCCCAAATTTTTTCCAGTATTTGTGATTCAAGTGCCACTTTATGTTTAATATATGAAACGATTATCTAGATTATACGATTAATGTAAGGGTAACCTAATATATTAAATTGAAAATTGTTTTATCATTTTATATTACATACATTTGTGAGAAGTGTTATAGAGTACTATAATTGACAGTAATTTAAATATTACACTTTTGTGTATAGATAAGAATAAAGTTCTAACTTAAATTTAGCCATATCAATATCTATTTAATAAAAGATTTGTGGTATTTTCTATAGGCTCAATTTGAACGTTATTCAAAGTGACATATGCTTTAGATATTCTGTTAATAATATACTTGTAGTCGTAGGTCTCTCGGTATTACATCATTGTAGCTGTAAGTTTACACTTAA